AGTTGTAGTTGCACTCCAGGGTGTAGCTGTGGGGCACAAGGGAGCCACCGTTACCCCACAGACCCTCAGCAGGGCTGGGGTGACCCCCATGTCCCTCTGGGAGAGCCACTTCGGTGGAGCTGGGGCACAGGAAAGCTGCAGGTTTTGAGGAGTGTGCTCTGATGGCAGGAATGGCCCATCCCCTGCACGAGGATGTGTGGACATACCACAGATCAGCGTGATGGGAACTTGGGGTGGAGCTCGTGGGGGCCTAAGGGTGGCACCCAAAGTGCCGAGGTGCCTGTGAGGGGACCTCTCAATCACCTCTGGAAGGTGATGGAGAATGGGGGGTCCCTGATAGAGAAAGGGAAGTGTCTCACGTCAATCCAGGGAGTGGGCGGCCATAGCCTCCCCCCAGCCTCCAAGGTGTCCCTGAGCGAGCTGTCCCAGAGGTGGGAGGGAGAGAGGGGCTGGGAACTGCTGGCTGGGAGGGCTCCCATCTGTCCCACTGGCCAGAGACAGCTCCAGGGCCAGTCCAGCAGAAAACCTGAGCAGCTCCATCCCTATTTGCCTGAGGCACTACATGGGCACTGAGAGCACTCCCAGCACCTTTCGGAATGTCGCTGTTGGATCAACCCCGGGCTGCTCCAGGCCAGCCCAGAGCAAAGTACCAAGCCCAACCTGCTGTGTGTGTGTTCCTGTATGGCTGGATCCTGTGTGTGTCCCTGACCCATCAGAGCTGGGCACAGAGCAGGGGCCGAGTGCACAGCAAGCGCCAAGGAAACGGGAGAGAACCTCCCTTCTGTGGGTCTGGCTGCCAGAGGTGTGTTCCCAGCACAGAAACGGGCCAGGAATATCCCATCCCACGTGGGAGGGGGTGGATCATGGGTATCCCCGGCTCCTGGGATCACAGATGGGCTGAGGCTGGAATCTCACACACAGCTATGGGGATTCTGCGCCCACGGCAACTCAGCTTAATTACAGCTCAACACAGACACGAATGTCTCGGAAAGAGAATTCCCCCTGGAAAGCCATCCAAGAGCGGGGAGGAGAAACCAGAGCAACTGCAGGAAGAGTGTGGAGAGGGAGGAGGGGGAGGGCTTGGCTGAGCCTCTGCCTCAGGAACACAGCAGCACCTGGCACAGCCAGGCCTGGCTTCTGCTGACCTGCCCCAGAGCCATGCAGGACAGGGCGGTCCCACGGGACTGGTTCCCCCTTCCCCCCGTCCCATGCCCAGCACGAGCACTCAGTGCCAGGCTGGACAGTGCTGCCCTACCTGTGGATGATGCCCAGGGCCTTGTAGACAGCCACGCGCCCGCTGCCCTCCTTGGACTGCCCGTCCCGCTTGTCCCGGGCGTACATGTTCTTCTCCGAGAAGTTGCAGCCCGTGAAGTCGAAGTGAGGCGAGTTCAGGGAGATCAGTTTGGGGAACAGCATGTTCTCCACCTGTGGAGAGCAGCAGGGGTGATGGGAAGGCCTCAGCTCCAGTGGGACCAGTGCCAAGTGTGGGGATTCACCAGGGTTGGCTGGGCCCGCTCTGCTCCAGTTCCAGGGTCTCACAAGCTCCAGCTGTGCCCAGAGGATGCTGCCCAGCCCTGCCCACCTCACACTGGGCTCTCCTGACAGCTAGCTGGGAGGAGGGGAAGGGAGCCCCAGTGGCACTGCTCTTCCCCACTCTCATCCCTCAGGAGAAAGGCAACTCTGCTGCTGGCCCACACCAGCTCCTGGGGGAAATCTGAGACCTCCTAGGGGAGGAGAAGGAGGAGACAGGAGAGAAGGAAAGAAGGAGGAAGGGAAGGAGAGGAGGAAAAAGCAAGAAAAGTAAGATAAGGAAGGAAAGGAGAAAGAAGGGAAAAGGAAGGAGCCGTGATAGGAATTTCCGTACCCCCCTCCCAGGAGGCCTGTGGGAGGGGGCAGAGCAGCAGGAGGGTCCCAGCAGCCCTGGCCTCACCTGGTCGTTCTCGTCGCTGAAGCTGTTCCCGTACATGAAGCAGCCGCGCTTGGACGCGTGGCCGTGCAGGTCCACGTAGTAGGCCAGGCCACTGTCCCGGGGTGCGATGGGCTCGGGGGGCTCGGGGGGCTCGGGCG